AAAGAAGAGGGAGTCAAGCTATTTTCCAAAGCGCCTGAAGGCAGGACAAGAAGCAACGGGTGGAAACTAACCAAAGAGAGAAGCAACCTAGAACTAACCAAAGAGAGAAGCCACCTAAGGAGAAACTTCCTGACCATTAGAACAATTAACCAGTGGAACAACTTGCCTCCAGAAGCGGTGAATGCGCCAACACTGGAAGTTTTTAAGAAGAAACTGGACAGCCATTTGTCTGAAATGATATAGGGTTTCCTGCCTGAGCAGGGGGTTGGACTAGATGACCTCCAAGGTCCCTTCCAACTTTATTATTATTATTATTAATTATTATTATTATTAGACTGATTTCCTGAAACTGTCTTATACTCTGTTAAAACACAGTCCACAACTATATAACAGGCAGCAGCCCACCAAGAAATCATTGTGAGATTATCCCATCCTGACTAAATAAGGACTGGATTTGATGCCCTAAAATAGTTTGGCTTTTGTTTTACCATGTTGTGGGAATCCAGATGGTTGTGAACTATTCAATATACTATAGTTGTACAAATCATGTGTGTTTATGTGAACCCAGACATTTTTTTTCATTTCTTGTTTTGTTATACTTTACCAAATAGTCAGTTAATCCCATTGTCACATGTTATATCTAAATTGGCTACTTCAAAATTATGGACAAACTTCAGCTCCTAGAAATGGCTGCAACTATCATGTTGGCTAAGGAATTCTGGGAAGTGAAGTCCACCCATCTTAAATTTAAAATATGAGAAACACTGGGGTAGATGGTGAGTTTGGAAATCTGGTTTATTTGAATAAAGGATTATGAGTTGTGCAAAGGTCAGATTTGACACAGGCTGACTCTATAACTGTTTTAATTATTGTTGTTGTTTAGATAATTTTATAACGTAGATGATTTTGAAAGGTTTCAGAAGCTTAAATAAAAAGATGCATTTATGGTTTGCAAAATACCCATACGCTTTTTAAGACATATATCATGTCTGATAACATGATTATGCATTGAGCTATAAGGATCCTCATGTTACATTATATCCAATAAAGTGTACAATATTTTTTGTGACATAATTTGTAGACATCCTCTATTTTCTCTAATTCAAAGGTAGTATGTGTCAGTTTTAAACATGGTAATGAAAATTACTCTTAGGGGGAGCCTGGAACCCCCACAGAGCGTGTCCCCGGGTGGCGGATTGGGGGACTCTACCCATTATGGCTTTTATGCTGTAATTGGAGGGAATCAAATACCTCCTGTGGATCAACAGGCCTGATGAGTGGCAGCTGGCTCCCCAGTATTGACTGAAGGCGGAGACCATATTGGTTGGAACAGCTTCAGAAGCACATGGTGTGGTGGCAGCCACTTGAACAGCATGTGTACAGCAGGGTCAGAAAGCAAAGGGAAGACTACTACACTATATATTTCCCAGGAAAATCATGTTAATGGCGCAAAACCTAACAATGGCCCCAAGTACGGGTGCCCCTTAAATGGGGCAGGGGTGCTAAGAATCTCCCAGTCTGCTAAAAGCATGATAAACCCAAAACTATGAATTGGAACGTGGAATCTGAGAAGCCTATACGAAGCTGGGAAAACACACAACACTATCCAAGAAATGTCTAAATACAATATCTCTACATTGAGTGAATGAAATATGCTGGCCTGAAAATGGAATGTGTAGAATAGGAGATTATACTATCCATTGATATGGTGAGAATAGCAAATAACATTGAAATAGAGTAGCTATAGTTGTAAACAATCTTGTAAATAAATGCATCAAGTCCTGTATCCGATAGAGTGATGATGATGATCCAAATAAATAGTACTCCAGTAAATATGAATGTTATACAAGTTTACACTCCCATAGTTGACAGTGATAAGGACGCTTTAGAGGAGTTCTATGAAGATATATGCAGTGTACTGAAAACTCTAAAAAGTAATGATATCACAATACTCATGGGGGACTTCAGTGCAAAAGTGGGAGAAGAAAGTGATGTTCCGATAGTTGGAAACTTTGGCTTAGGAACAGAAATGGCATTGTAGACTTCTGCAAGGAACATAGGCAATGTATGATGAATACTTTTTTCAAGTTGCCAAAAAGGCGCCTCTACACTTGGAGATCACCAGCAGATACATGAAATAATATAGTAAGGAAACAAACTGACTATTTTACAATAAACAAAAGATTTCGAAACTCAGTAAAATCAGTAAAGACATACAAAGATGCACATGTACCATCCAATCATAATCTACTACTTGCCGAAGTCCAGCTGAAACTAAAAAGGATAAAAAAACCTGAATCCTGCTAAACCAAGAATTGACAGAGAATTAAACATGCAAGTAAGATAAAAGAACTAGAAAATCATTTAAGAGAAACCAACAACCTGAATGATGAAGATGTAGAAGTGAATAAAGTGGAATAAGTGGAATAAATTGAAAAATGCAATAGTAGAGTAACAAATTCAAAACAGAGGGATACCACAAGAAACAACAGTGGATGACAGAGGAAATTTTTCATCTCATGGATGAAAGAAGATCTTATAAAAATAAAAACAAAGAAAAATAGAATGAATTGCAAAAAACAATTAGAAGAAAAATTTGACTGGCAAAAGAAAAGTGGTTTGCAAAGAAATGCAAGGAAATTGAAGAGACAGAACGTATGATGATAATTTCAATTTACACACAAAAAAAGTGAAAGAAGCAGCAGGCCTTAAAAGAAAACCAACAACTTAGTTGAGAAAGAGGGGGAAATTATCTTAGATGAGGACAAAAACTAAAAAGATGGAAGGAATATATTGAATAACTTTTTGAGGACACTAGGGAAGATATAGATATGGGAAGTATAACAACTGGACCAAATATCACTATGGAGGAGGTTGACCGTGCAATAAAAATAGCAAAAACAAGAAAAGCCACAGGACCTGATGATATCCCAGTAGAAATTTTAAAATTGCTGGAAGACAATGGGAAGAATTTTTTACTGCAGCTCTTCAATTGAATATATGAAACAGGAAGGATACCAACTGATTGGCTAAAATCAACCTTTGTGACAATCCCCCCCAAAATAAATGTAAAGAAGTGTACTGAATACAGAACAATAAGCTTAATGAATCATGCCCTGAAAATATTCCTGAGAATAATTCACACAACAATATACAACAAAATTGAGGAGCATCTAGGTAACACGCAAATTGGTTTCAGAAACAATCTTGGTATACGAGATGCACTATTCAGCATTCAAGTTCTTGTACAGCGTTGTAGAGATGTCAATCCCAGTGTTTACATGTGCTTCATTGATTTTGAAAAAGCATTTGATAAAATAAGGCACAGCAAACTATTAGAAATCCTGAAACAAGGGTGACTAGATGACAAAGACATCCAAATCATAAAGAATCTATATTGGCATCATGTAGTATATGTGAGACTAGGCCAAAAATACTCAGCTGATGCAGGGATGTATTCTGTTTCCACTGTTGTTCAATATCTACTCTGAGTCAATCTTCAATGAGGCACTGGAGAACATCAAGGCTGGCATCAAAGTAAATGGTGTTTGGACCAACAATTTAAGATATGCTAATGATACAGTTCTGCTTGCCAGTAAACACGAAGACCTTCAGCTCCTCATCAAAGAGTCACAGAAATATCTGAAAAATATGGTTGAAGTTTAACACCTCAAAAACCAAGATCATGGTTGTCAGCAAACAAACCGTTAATTTATCACCAATAAATTTGGAAGGAATACCATTAGAAAAAGTTGAAAGGATCATGCACCTCAGTTCTAATTTACATGAAAGTTGGGACATGACCACTGAAGTAAAGACTAGGATAAAAAGGTCTTCTGCAGTCACAACATAAGCCTAAGATTGAAAATCAGGCTTGTCAGATGTTATATTTTTTCTACCCTGCTCTATGGAGTAGATAGAAGGCCACCTGAAGAGACTAGAAGCATTTGAAATGTGGATTTACAGGCTGCTATTAGGTATAAACTGGGTTGACAAGATCAGAAATGAGGTGATAAGCTGCCTGGGAAAGCCAAGGGAAATCATAAAACAATTTAAAAAATGAAAGTTAGAATATTTTGGACATGTAATGCAACACCCAGAAAAATATGGCATACTCCATTTAATCCTCCAGGGAAAGATTGAAGGCAAATGAGGTCCAGGCAAAAGAAGAACATCATGGCTTCAAAATCTAAGGGACTGGTTTGGACAAAACTCAGCAGCACTTTTTCGTGTGGCTGCTGATAAAAACAGGATCATCAATATGATTGCCAACGTCTGATAATGGATATGGCACAAGAAGAATGAAAATTAAGAATTACTCCTGTTGCATGTATTTAAATGAGGCAACTGGGCTTTGGGATGCAAATTGTTTTCATTTTAAAAAGCCTTTTCTGATGTTATCAGGTATAAGTTCCAAAGTTTCTTTTCATTTGAAGTCTTATTGATAAATTCAAATCATGCTAATCAACTCATTGCTTCTGCATTACTCTCTCCTCCAATAACAATATATATCCAACAATATCCAGCTTTGTGAGTAGAATAGGAAGTGGAAGTAGATGTGAACAAGTCAAAATACTCTATTCTGGGTATAAAGAGCATCAGAAAGTGGACTGTGATCCACAAAACCCTTGAGATAATAATTAGTCCAAGTACTAGTAGATCCTACCAAACTAATCACTTGCTTGAAAAAAGACTTGAATAATCACGGAAGCTAGATCAGCATGCTTATGTGTGCTTTCTAAAAACTATCTGAAGGAAAGAAAATCTATTTGGATTTTTACCCTGAACAAAACTCTTGAGGCAACCTTTTTGGGTAGATTCCTTAATGTTATGTGATTTATGCAGCGATATGTTTTATTTTAAGGGCGGGGGAAGAAAAGTACTGTTTTTGCAGGATCTCTTTAAAAAAAATGTAGGTACCTCTTGTTCTGTGACTATTTCCTGCGTGTGTGTGTGCGCGCGTGTGTCTGTACGCGCGCGCGTGTGTATGTTATCAGGAGCAGGAAACAGGAGCTGGAAGAACGAACGAGTACAGAGGCTATTCCAGGCTACAGAAGGAAGGCGGAGGCGGAAGGGGACCATTTTAAATCATTTTTTTTCTCCTCTGGCAATACTGAGATCGCCCTTTCCCCTTTATTTTTGGCCATGGGGAGGTGTGGCAAAGCTGCCTTAGGCCACAAAAGGTGAAGCCACCACGTGGGATGCGTTATGATGTTGCCAATCTGACGGCGGCACATTTTGTGGTGTGAGACTGGGGGAGGGGAAAAGGAGAGGACCGCTGGAAATCGAGGAGGGATAAGAGCCCGAGGAAGAAACAGCAATAGAGGAAGAAAAGCAGACCCCCCCCCTCCTGCGCACCCATCTCCTGCAAGCACCTCCCCAAAACAGCCACTTCCACGATGTACAGCTGCTAATGATGGATTTTCTTTGTCAAGCAAACTGGGAAGTGATGTAAGTCCAACCCCCATCTAATCAGGATCAGCCGGGCGAACGGGGAGGGGGTTTCGTAACGGAGCAGGGGAGCTATTGAGGGGTCAGAGTGGTGCTGCCTCCCCGAGAATATCCTCGCTTGCGCTGCTGCCGAAGATGATGCCGTTGATCTCCCGGGAAATGGACGGTCCACCCACATGACATGACTTCCCCCGGGGGGCTGGGGGACATTGCCGGATAGCAAACTGTGCCCCGCTAGCCTCGGCCCAGCGCCTCGAGTCTCCGGAGAAAAGCACGGAGAGGGGGGAATGATGCGCGATTGTTCAGGAGAGAAGCGCTTCCTCATTGTTATTTGTATCATTTCTCCGCCCTACCCCCTCTATAATATTGAACCCCATTATTCCCTTCCTTGAATTTCTTTCTTTTAGGATCAATTCCCCCCTCCCTTTCTCCCTCCCCCAAAAGATAGAAGGCTGAAACCCTTTCATCTAATATTTATGCTGACTATCCCTAGCAATGGTCCCTCTATCTAAATCAGTTCTCACCCCTTCCTCAATTTCATGTTACCTCTTCAACTTTGGTTTCCATTTTATATCAGGTTGTTGCTCCTGCCTTCCATTCTTTCCCCTCCTCAGAAGTGCCTATGATGTTCCATCCCCCCTTTGATCTCATTGCTGCCTAGTCTAAATTAATGTTGTGGATTTTTTTTTCTCTCCCAATTTGTAGTTGCATATCTTCTCTCCATTAGACCATGGGTTGTTCCCTGGTAATTGCTTTGTTGATCCATAACTTTTCCTTTCTATTTACCCTTCTCATCCTAGGACCTGGGTACCTCTCTCCTAATCTAATTTAAATTATGCTCTATTCTAAAAAACCTCAATAATTTGGCAGCATCCAGGTTTGAAAATGTTGGAAATAAAGCAAGAACAAGGTAGTCGGTATTGGATGGAGCCCCCAACCAAGGGGCCAATGTCATTAAAGTTATAGTTGTTTTTTAATGGAAAACATAATTGAGACATCAGTGAGATATATAATCTATTTTCTGGCCACTTTCCCCATTACTTGCCATGCTAGGTAGGAGCTATGCTTCTACATTCCCTAGTGTATTTATTGCCCTTTCCATCTGCTGTTCCTGTACTTTCCCTGCATGCCATCTGGGTTTGGTGCTTTCTCCCCACTCCCTTTCATTGCCTCCTTCCCCTTTTCCTAGTATGCCTGGCTTTTGCGAGTTTCCCAATATTTCTTAATGCAGACTGTACCTTCCTTCGATCTCATATACTATTTTGGTCTGTATCTTGACACTTAATCTTGGATTTGTTCCCTGCCTACCCTTCTAATTACTCAAAGTCAGGATGTGAAACTGTGAGAACTCAGATGAGTTGCCCTGAGTTCCATAATGGAAAAACATAATAAATGAGGAGTAAGTCAACTTACACCTACCTTCTTGTTGGCAGCTATGCTGCACTCCCATTGAATTCCAGGGGTGCTCTTCCCCCTATTCCACAACATGCAGCTACAGGATGGATTGTTTGTTTGATTCCTCCCATTGCTGCCATAATACTTCCAGCAAGTTCCTTCTGCTTTTCCACTTGTTACATAACTTTTAAACCTATTTCCCATTCTAACTAATCAAATTCTATCTTATTAGGGTTTAGCCTTCAGACTCTGATTTTGAAAAGATGCTGAGAATTTGCTGAGAATTGTTCTTGCTTATCCTGAGGAGATAAATGTGTGGCTTCCTTTCTATTCATACCCTAGAGGCTGCTGTTGCCACTTATTTCATGAGTGGGAACTTTAAGGAGGGACTAAGACGATGTGAGAAAAGTATGGGTGTTTGTTTTGAGTTCTAGCTCATCTTTTTCTCTGAGCTTGATGCTATCCACATGGTTGACTTTCCTATGAGGCAAAGGTGAAATAGTTGCTTCTGGAAGCCAACTTTAGATTTTGTAAATAGCAGAAGGCAAGGAGCAAATCTAATTTCTAGAGTCTAATCTGGTGGAACAGCCCCTGTACAAGTTCTGTTGATGGGGCACCTATTTAAGGGCATCTCCTGATTCTGTTTTCAATTTGGATTATTTCACACAATATTGTGGGACATTTTTGCAATTTTTAGTGCCCAAATAGGTACCATAGTTACAGAAGTGATAGAACTGCTTCCATGTACCTAAAATTATGGAGCATTATGAATGGATTTCCTTATTAAACTTCTTCTGGCTTTATCTTCATTTATTTATCTGTTACATTTCTGGGCAATATACATAGCATTCAGTCCTTATATTTTTCCTGACAACAACGCTGCGAAGAAGATTGGCCTGAGAGGCAGTAATTGGTCTAATGGTATCCTGTATACCTCCGTGGCTGAAGATGGACTCATAGCTGGGTCTCCTCTATTCTAGTCCAACACCTTAACCATATATCATCCTATAAATGAATAACATTTTTTGGATTTTCCACATGACTTCTAAGGTCATCAAGGATAACGAGCATGTTAGGCAGCACTGTACAAGCAACAAAATAATAAACGAGAACACAAGATTCTTCTATTTTACTTAATTCATTTCTTAGTTACAATATATTTTATTATATTGAAAATCAGCTTGCCTCTTCAACACATGTGGTTGGCAGCAGGGGGCGGGAGTGTAGAGCAGCAACATCAGTTATGTACATTGTTCTTCCATGTGAAGATGTTGTATAACTTTATGATCATAGGAGAAATGCGCAGTTGCAGTTTAATATGGAACTCTTCAGTTTAGTGCTTGGAGATGGAATGTGCTGCAGGATATTTTATCTTAAAAAAGTGTTCCCTATTATGACTACTTGGGTATGCCTTGCTCCATCAATGAGATGAGCTTATGCAGGCTAGTTCTTTCTCTCACATTCTCCCTTTGTTGTGTTTTAGTATTTTCCTTTCAGTAATCCTTGGTCTTCTGTAGCTATCTATGGTCAGTAAATCTCTTTATTGTAACTTTTTTTTAATAGTAAACTTGTTCAACATTATAATTAAAAATATAAAACTAATACAAGAAAAGAAAAAAATAATAAAAAGAAAAAACACAGTAAACGAAGAAAAAACATGTGAACAAATGATTTTCCCTTTATCACAACAAATATAAACATTTTTAATAACTTATTATCTTTTTAAAATACAGCAAATGATCTCTTCTTCCCATATCCCATCTCTTATCTATAAAAATATCCTCAAACCTTGTTGTTCAGTCCTAGTCAGCCAAAGTCCATTAATGGAGGTAAGTAAGATAACAGCTATTTTAATCTTGATCAAATAAACTGACTTTATATTCCTTCCTTTTACTTTTAGCAATCTTTAAATGTCCTAAAGCTTGATTTATTTTCATTTTTTTCTTTGACCCTTCTCACAAAATCCTTCAAGAGTTTAACAAGTCTGTTTTGTAAATCCAGTGTAGAAAATTATCCAGGTTGCTCTTTTGATTTGTTATTTATATATCCCTTTTAATTATCAAAACATCAGCCAGTTTCATTTGTATATCCAGTTTAGCATCTTTTTCTAAATCATTCTTGTAGCCTGTCATTTTTAAATCCAGTTTTAGATCTGTTCCTCTTCCACAAAATCTTTTAAACATAGTCTATCTATAAAGGCAGACACTCTTAAAATTAACTTTTAAGAATTGTCCCCAAATATCCTTATGCTTCCCTCTAGTATCCAATCTTCAGAATCCCAACATATCATTTTTTTAAACAATTCAAAACAACTGCTTTCCCATGGGAAGGAATTTTTAAAGTAAATTCAAAGTCTTATTTCAAATCCATTTGGACCCTTCAAAAATCAATGTTCTCATAATTTCTTTTCCTGTTTATTAAAAAAAGAGCAAGTGTTTTAAAGTTTTTAAAACTTTTATTTATTTTTGCACAGTGTTGAAGGAAATTTACACAGTGCTGTAAAACCTGTCATTTCCAAGGTCTCTAACAGCTGAAAAGCAGTTAATGAGCAATTTTCAAAAGTGACTAGAAAAGGGAAATATGTGAACCCTGGGCCGGCTGTGGTTTGAGTGAAGATGTCATTCCCTTGTCTCCCAGAACTCTAAACCTGCCAGATATCAGTATTTTGTGATCTCCTTTTGAGGAGCAACTGTTTGGAGCACTTGTGGGAGATCTCAAGTCTTTTCTTTTTCTGGAAAAGAATCTGTTTTCAGTTCCACATTGCTTCTCCAGAAGTGTTTTTTTACTGTAGCTCTCATTGGCTTCTGGAGCAAAATTTTTCCTCTGGTTTTAATTTAATATGTACTTCTGCAATATTTGAGATTTTTACCTTTATTTTGATAATCTTCTGATTTTCATTGCTGTTGGTGTAGGTAGTAGTAGGAGGAAGAAACAAAGCAAGAATCATGGTTCTAAGATAATGAAGTTTAAAGAGGGCTGATAGAAATTCTTGAAAGGAGCCAGCTATGACTCAGGCTTTTATGTCATATACCGTATTTTCCAGCTTATAAGACGACTTTCTAAAGCATGCAAATCGGCTCCGAAGTTGGGGGTTGTCTTATACGCCGAGTCGTCTTATACGCCGGAAATTATGGTAGTTTCTGGCGTATAAGACGACTTTCTAAGCATGCAAATCGGCTCCAAAGTCAAGGGTTGTCTTATACGCCGAGTCGTCTTATACGCCTGAAAATATGGTACTCTCATCTGTCCCAGGGTAATCTCAAATGTTAACCTTTTGATTGTGTCACTTATGTGCTGGATATGGAGAAAAGGACTCATTTCCCAGTTGGGAAATGGGTCATTTCAGAACATCTGTTGGCTGCTGTGTGGAGTTAGTGGGCAGGTTTTACCAGCCTAGATTTGCCAATCCATATGGTTTAATTGCCAAATGTGCATTTCTTGTATGCCTATTTTCCACATTTAATATATAAATGGAAGGAATGGTCTTTGAACACAATCTTTGGAAGCATTCCTGGATTTTATCTGGATTTTTCCATCACATGTGGATTTTTATGTTGGCTGCAAATCTTGGCTTTCCTTTCCTTTTGTTCACTTATGCAAAACTT